ATGCCATGAAGTAGTAGTACAACAAGTCTCATGCCAAAATAATTCAATGCTTGTGGTCTCAAAATGTACAATCCTTTATTGAACCACAAAGGTTCAACCACACTGGTCTTTTGATTGAAATCTATACAAACCATGGGACCTTATCCAACCAACATGTGTCAAGGAAGCCTAACAAGATCAGCATCCTAAGACATTCCTTATGTTTCATGGTCTTAGGTAATCTAGGATTCTAATGAGCTGACTATGAGGTCTCATAATCGTACTATAAAAATACGAGTCAAGACATGGGAATTTAAAATTAGTGCAAAGATAAATGACACTTTCTCTCATGTGTATAAAAATAATTTATTTGGCTCAATATTTTTTTTTTTCTTTTTATCAAAATTCTTGACTTGGTATTTTTCACAAGCATCAGATAGAAAATAGAACGATTGTTTAATATAATTTTCACATAAACTAGATGGACCTTACAAGATATGGAGTTTTCTTAAAACATATCCATTGACCAAGGTTTTTCAACATAAATGGTCCAAGTCAATTTCAAAATACATGCTTAATCTTTTAATTTAATTATTTATCAAGTCATGTTTTAGTCACAAAAAAGGAATCATATAATCCATCTATGATTTTGTCCAAAACAAAAGCACGACTAAAATGTTATCAAAACCTGAAAATATCCGAACTGCATATTTTCTTGGCAATTTGGAGAGCTTAAAATGAAATCCTCATCTCATGCGACACATCATATCACCAGACATTACCAAGAGGACAAACGACAAAAATGCTTTTATCGGAGTATACAAGAATGGGTGCAACACTCCCTCTGTGCTGTGCATTTTTCAATGAGCCGTACCTATCTCTTGTGTTTGATACCTGGCCATAGACCTCGATCAAGATCACTAAAACCACATCCCTTGTGTTTGCTACCTTAAGTGGCTTGCACAAGTATAAGAAGGCACATGTATTAAAGGGTATCAAACTGGCTCTTTCAAAATTGTAGCATCTAGTAATTAATCTCCTTCTCTCCATACATAAAACATTAACCAGCCAAGATGCAATCAAAGAAGTATAAAGGTCAGGTTGACCCAAAAAGGCTATAAGTTGTTGAATCCTCTTTCCCTATATGACCTCACCAGTATTGCGGGATAGATTTCATACCTCAAACTTAGTGTGGTACTAGGCCTTTTTTGATCATTGCTTTTTCTTGTTGACGAATGTTTATAGTCCTAAAAGAGAACTTAAGTGATGGAGAATCACTTGGTCATCAATTGCACATGACAGGGAAGTGTCCAATTATTTGGCCCTTGGACTCTCCCTTACGCACATTATGAAGAAATACTCTTCTTGCATGCCATCATTCTAAAATGTCACTAATTTGATTTTGCCATTGATCGTAGGGTTTCTAAGCCACCACGTGTCTTTACAGATCCCTTCATTGCCAAAAATGAATAAAAAATCAATATGCCTTCTACAAGTATATCATGTAATTCTTCACTTTAAATTTTAGCAGTTTGTGGGCTGAACACCCCTCACATATGGCTTCATAATTCCTCAATCGTTCATGAACTCTCGCTGAAATTTATTATCATAAAGTACGCACATAACACAATAACATGCCTTAAAGTGAACCCTATATCTTTCCGATCAATTAGAATACAATTAGTGACTTCACATGTCCCACCTTTGGGATTTGCTGCAGAAAGAAAGTGAGCATCTTTTGATAAAAACACAATTTCTCTCAACTCAAAAAGAGTGTCTCTCACCAACTTTTTGAATCTGAAAATAGACTCATAAATGTAAATAATACTCAGTACAAGCCCCAATGCATACCATTTAGTGAGTCTATGAACTGGTAATTCTCACATCACAACACAATTCATTCAGCTGAAAAAAGTGACATTCACTTCCCAAAGATGAGACTGCGGAAATTCAAGATGACCCTTCTCTAATAAAATAATCTTTTCTCTTAATGCCTTTGAAGTTTCTCTCTGAATTTTTTTTTTGTTAAAATATAAACTCAAAGTGGCAATATAAAAACTCAGTGTAGGCAATCTTTTAAGAAGCGATATATAATCATGGCATTCATGTCAAAAAAACACGTTTTACTACAAAAAACAGCTTTTGAGTACTCTTCAATAAAACAACCATACCTTTCAAACCATAGGGTTTTCTTTATGAAATTATTTTTGTTTGAGCGTAGACTCAATTTGGGTGAACAGTAAGATTTTCCCCAAACAATAAAAATATTTACTTGGTGGAAAATTTATTTTACATAATATACCGTTTCTGGAATTATGGGGATCAGAACTGACACCCCTCAATGATGAGTCCATTACTCTCAATCCCCACATGGCCTCTTACTGAAAGTTTGCAAGGAGATACTACTCTTGAAAGCAAAAAATATAAATAGAGTATGCCTAAGAAAAATACCTCATGTTTTGGTTCATATTGCAGCTTCAAACCAATGCAAAAACGCTAATTTGTAGAGTGCCTCTCGGTGTTGTAAACATGCCAATAATTCTTTCGGGGGTTTATCAATTGACCACAAAGCCATTGGCTCTCAAGTTTCTCATTTAAACTCAACACAAAAACATCAAAAACAAATGGAATATGGCAACAAGAGATCCATCTCTGATAGCTATGAAAGAATGATTGTGTGATCTAGCACATTATATGTAGGTTAAAATTTTTCATTCTTTCTTTCCAATACCGGCTAGATCACTTACATATGTCCAAAAATACAACATTAATTTACAGAAATAAAATCTAATACAAGCTAGGATCTTCTCTTGCATACCATTACAATTCTATTCAATCATACAAAGCACAATGCATGAGGAATCAAGAAACATAGAGCTATTAGAATTAATGACTACCTTGCCTCAAGTTACCTCTAAGGATTTGTACTCTCCTCCACCGATTGCGGATGTGATCTAGGTGTTTCTTGAATTTTATAAAACATGGGAAGCTTTGCTAAAACATTGCTATGATGTATGAGAGCATGTGGAACGAAACAAGGGCTTCACCCTTGATCTACTATGTGGGGCGTGCCCACCTATGGGTCAACCAAACCTACGAGTGTTCCCCCTTGTTCTTTTAGTTTACTAACTCTTTTGTGATGGGAGAGAGAGAGATGAGAGTATAAAGGGAGAGGGTCGCATGCCACCTTTTGGAGAGACAGGGCTCAAGGCAATTGTATAGAGATGACCCCATTGAGAGATTATATAGAAGAGAGATTACTCCATTGGAAGTATGGTTATAATCAGAAACCAAACGATAAAAATTGTAGAAGATGTAATTTTGTGAAAAAGATACCAATGGGGGTATTAACCGATTTAAGAAACACATTGCCTGCAATAAAGGGAATGTTGCTTCGTGTAAAAAAGTTCCTAAAGGTATTTGAGATGAGATTTGACAATATTTGAATTTAGTAAAACTAGAAAGTAAGAAAATGAGCTTTGTTCTATGGAAATATCTTCTCCAGGTTCGTCTAGAAGTGGTGATCCGGGTTGGAATTATGGTCATAACCCGAATCCGAATGACAAAAAACGTATTAGGTGTAATTATTGTGGAAAAGATACTATTGCAGGTATTTATCGGTTCACGAAACACCTTACCGGCATTAAAGGGGATGTTGCGCCGTGTAAAAATGTTCTTGAGGCTACCATGAAGGAGATCATATAATATTTGAGTTCAAGGAAGCACAAAAGGAAAGGAAAAAGTGAAGAGGCACGAAGTTGAGCGGCCAAGACTCCTTGGGCCTCATCTGCACAAAGTAATAGGGAGGTAGAAGAAGAGGAAGAAGAGGCAGATTCAGAAGAAACAGAGGAGGACATGCGTTATGTTGAAGAGGAAGATGACTTTGATGATGATGGCCTCGAATCTGATTCATATGCTTAGGCTTGCTCTACTCCTGATGATGATGATGATGATGATGAAGATTGAAGAATGAAGACGCTTGACTCATGGTGTTGACCATTTAGTCTTAGACTGCATTTTTTTTTTCTTATTTTTTAGTTTCTAGTTTCTAGTATGTACTATCTAAGTTTGCTTGTATGGTTCTAGCATTGTATGGAAATATGGATTACGGACTATCAAAATTCTCCTCATTCATGGAAATATGGATTATGGATTATGTATTATATAGTTATACTGTTAGACTTAGACACGTAGACTACATAACTTTTTCTTTCTATTGGGTCGCTCAAATTCTGGGCGCCCACCTAGGTGCTGGGCAGCTTGGACCTCCCCGGCCGCCTAGCGTTTTTTGAAACACTAGGCCTAGTTTTTGAAGCCTGGGTTAGTCACGGCATCTTGAAACATGCCTCATCAGTCCTACCGGACCCTAGTCCTACTAGAGTCATTGTATCGCTAGTTATAGTTTTACATGCTCTCATAAGTCCTTGAAATGGCCACGAAACCTGAACATCTTTATCATCACTAGTCATAGTCTTGCTCATTGTTATCAGGTCTCTCCATGCATTATCTGTAAATTATTAATTTCCTAAACTTAATCTTAAAATTACATTTGTCAACATGTGTTCCCTTATACTGAAAAATTAAAACGAGCTAACAAGCTTAGCTTTTCTCAGGGTTAGAAAATGTCATTACAAATTTTGCTTTAATTCATACACTTATTTCTATTAGAATTAGAATTTCTTGGAGTAAGGCCTTTTATTATAAATAGGGGTCTGTGTAGAGAATCTAGAATAGAAATTATCATTTTGAAGCCTTGTTTCCTTGAATTTTTATCAACTCTACAGAGCTATTGAAGCTAGGCTTGTTAGCTTCTTTTCGTTTCGATATCAAATAGATTATTTGATTTTCTTCCCTAGAAAAATTTTCCTCCATCACTACCACCTCTTCGGAAATTTTTTTAGCATTTCTTAAAGCTTTGATACAGGCGTAGCTTCCATTTTGATTGATTAATAGATATAATTTCAGGGGATTATACAGAATGCTGAATAAACTTCCATGTGCTTCACCTTCCCTTTCTGTAGGTCAGCTGCGTACGGATGCTTTCAGGGGAGCGTGTCCTTACTGCTTCTCATGACGGTTGTGTAAAGATGTGGGATGTGCGAACTGATACTTGTGTGGCAACAGTAGGTCGTTCTTCAAGTGCAGTTCTTTGTATGGAGTATGATGATTCCACTGGGATACTGGCTGCAGCTGGGAGAGATGTGTATGTATATCCATAACTTAAGAAAATGGTTTATGTAACCTATTTAGTTGTTTTGTGTGGCCTTGACCAGTATATAAGGACCATTTGAAGACTTAAATCTGTTGGTAACATCAGGGTGGCGAACATTTGGGACATTAGGGCAGGAAGACAGATGCACAAGTTGCTGGGGCATACAAAATGGATCCGGTGATCATTCAGCACAACAACATTTCCTTCCATCTGAATTCCTGCTAATGACTCGGTGATTTTTTTGTTTCTTGAGCATCATATATGCACTCTTGATTTCAATTTTCTCTCAATATGCAGGTCAATAAGAATGGTTGGGGACACCGTAGTTACTGGTAGCGATGACTGGACTGCCAGACTCTGGTCTGTTTCTCGTGGAGCATGTGATGCTGTTCTAGCTTGCCATGCGGGCCCGATTTTATGTGTGGATTACTCATTTGCGGATAAAGGAATTATTACGGGTTGGAAACTCTCTCTCTTCAAGAAAATATTAATTTTTTTTACTGAATGAGTGTGTTAAAGTCCTATCCAATGGCAAATTCTGTTTGTGCTTAGAGTTGTTTAGCTGATGTATGCATCCTATTATCCTGCTTACTGTTCAGGTTCATTGGATGGACTACTACGATTTTGGGAACATGAAGAAGGTACATTCTCCTTCCTCCTGCCCCTGTGTTACTTGTCTTTGTTTTTCTGCAATAATACAATTTGACTTGTCTTTCACCTGGAAATCAATCCCATTGTTTTATACAAAAGAAAAATAAAATGCACATCTTTTACGTTCTCAATGCTTATGCATTAGCTTTCTTGAATCTCTACCAAGTTATAAGGATAAAAACTTAGCATTCTTTGAAAGATAAAAAAAATATCACTTGCATGATAAAATTTCTTGTCAATGCTCTCAACAAGTACATCCAGTGATGCCAAATATACGTTGGTGACCAGTTCATATATACTTAGGCAAATTTTATGGTTAAGTTTATTATATTTAGATAAGCATGATCAAATTTTTTGAAAGGTGGTTATGTACAACGAGTGTGGCGTATATATTCAAAAAAATTCTTTTAGTAGTTTTGACAGGTTTATTTACATGTTCCATAAACAATGCATATAGTATAAAAAATAAACCCTAGTACAATTTAAGGATGCATTTTAAGGATGCAGCCTTACTGCCATGAACATAAAACTTTATTCATAAAAGAAACAAACAATTACACATACATATGATTCAAGAACATAGGGAATCCTTTTACCAGAGGCAAAGATGCCTCAAGATCACATCTAGAGGTCTTGCCTACGCCCATACCGGATCACCAAACCAATGGCATACTGATCTTGTTGTCTGAATCCTCTTTGAGATGCGAAGTTCATATGACAAACCCTAATTACTGGGGTAGAGAGCATAACCAAGAAAGACAAGCACACCAAACAACTAGGGCTAGTGCCCCGTCTTACGTGACATGCTACAGTAGGCTCATCTAAGCTTGGAGTGGCACCTCCCATGAGTCTATTGGACTAGGCGTGCCACCATATGGGCTTCCATGTTGGTTACCTATGCCACTCTTGGTGGGGTGTCCCACCAATTTAGCTAGAGAGAGAGAGAGAGAGGAGGTCGGTTGGGGGGGGTGGGGGGGTGGAGAAGAGAATAAAGTAGAGAGCGTAGTAGGTTAGGGTAGTGGTAGTTAGGTAGGGTAGGTACCTACCCTTATTTAATAAGTTGTTCGACGAAGGT